GGGAAGTTACCAAAAAAGCAGAACTTGTCCAGGGAAGTAGAAGGCTTGTAATATGAAAAAAAGGAATGAAGAGTTGAACTTTTTGATGAGGGATGGGACATGTTCTTGGCCAACTCCCCCTCCTCTACGTTTTTGCTGATGCAGGCAAGCCTCCAATCACAAATTTTACTCTCCAAAGTGTACTGGGAATGCAAAGTTCTGAGAACATTTTTAATGATTGCTGTAAGACCTTCAGCCGAACACTTTAAGTTGGTGGGAAACCAGCTTGTGAATACAATAAAATGCACCAATGAAATAAGTAGTAATGGGTCTTCATCCCAGCAGCTTATTCCTTTTAGTAAGTTTAATAATGTGGTAAAAATGTAATCTTGCTCACCCACATCTTGCTACAACGCTGATACAGAAGCTCCCGATCTGGAAGTGTTGTTTTACACATCAAGATCAAAAGGGAAATAAGGATTACGGCCAGCTCTCCACTCCTTTTCACGACTGAATTACCACAGCGACTAAAAAGTGCCAAAATTTAGGAGCAAGAATGATATGGCGTCGATGCGAAACGTACTTGAATCTGAATGCGTTTTTGCTGCCTTCCTCTGGAACTTGGTTGAAATTCAGAGTCAACGTATTCTCTTAAGAGAAAGCATCAACATGCAGGAGTTGCTGAGAGACTTCCAGCACAATGCTTGCAAATAAGCGAACACTTCGAGTGTAAGCAAGGTGACTTTACAGGTATGTATATGCACATGAGGATTGAAGCTATCGCCGAGTTGCAAAAACGTGACGAAGTATACAAGTCAAGGAGAAATAAGTTCGGTTGAAGAAGTAAGTAATTCAACAAAGTGACGTTGTTTTCGCGCAACTCAGAACCTGCTTGAGATCAATTTGTTGTTTAAAAGGTACACAATGCATGCCTTTGAAAAGAGGACAACAAGGCGACATTTAGTAAAATTACAATAACCTGCTAAAGTCCCCATAGGCTTTCCCAACGTTCCGAGGATAAAAAGTGGGAGATCAAGAAGGTCAAATGTGGAGGTCACTTAAACGAAGAACCGGCTCACTCTTCGAAGATGTAATTTAATTAGAGATCAAACTACCCTTGCTTGACGCTGAAACACCAAACTCCAACAGCATAACCAGCAAGACAACTGAATGTCTTATTAAAATCTAGAGAGGTTCTGTAGGTCATCCGACCCCTACAAGACCATTAAAGATCTCCTTTACTGGGGAAAGAGCAATTACAAACCAGGGAATGAGGGAGTATGTGTATCCGCTATGAATAATGTGATGAAATTATCATTTCAAAGTCAGCAATGCTGCTACGCACCTCATTTGAAGCATAGGAATAGTTGTAGTCATTTTTGGCGCGTCGTTGGACCTCGTGAGCAAATTTGAGGTACTCTTCGCTGTCAGGTTTGCGCAAAGTCACTGTCATCAGCACTCGGTAGGCCTCCCGTGCCCGTTTGTTCTCTTCGGCTGGTGCATTTGCACGGAACCAGGGTCGCGCCTGCTGTTCCGAACTGCGGGAAATGGAGGATGAACAAATGACATTTGCCCGCCATAATCACAAACAGAAAGGCTGATTATCACTACCACACAAAATGAGAAGAGAAATGCAGGCGTTTTGCGACAAAAAGATGCTCCAACCCGGTAGTCCATTTATAGCCCCATTGTTAACATTTATGCAGACAGAGTTAACTATTGTTCAAAGACCGCGAAGAATGGGTCTCCACTGCCATAAATCAAGGAAGGTACCATTTTGCATTCATTCACTACCAATAAAACAAATCTACTGATTGTTATTATTCCGACGTCCCGTCCTCTGACGTATTCTGGAGAGCACCACTAAGTTGTCAATTCGGGCGGACGATTCGGCAATTAGGAGAGCAAAACACCAAAACGATTAAGTCGGTTACAAAAATGTACTGTAGGGAAAGAACCTGGGGCTAAATTTACTTTCCATGGAACCTGAACTTGACATTTCAATTCAAAGTACATTTGTGGCATGTTTTAAAGCCAAGACTTTTGTTACATCGTTTGGACCACCAGCTCAATGACGGTCTCAACCAATGCTATCGTGCCACCTAACCGATGTATTTTTAATTAATTTTAAGATAGTTCCAAAAAGTTAGAACTTTGAAAAACTTCGTGAACTTTTCATGCTTGATTTGGAAATTCAGGAGTTGGGTAATTGATGAAATTGGTGGCAATATTAAAGTCTCAAACTTGCCAAACCATAAAAGCACCAATGTTTCGTCAGGATTTGTATGAATTTCTGACGACGAGTTGACGCATTTTTCGATGACTTTAGAAAGCTAAAACCAATTCAAGTAATCGTCCAAATAGATTTGCTCAGCACCACTGCTAACGCAGCAGCACAGTGGTCGATGGAGCTACTCACCTCATTCCATCTTAGAAGCACACACACATGGACTAGGCAAAGCAATGGAAAGTCGATCTGCCTCAACGACTGATTTTATTCAGAGGCCAGTATGACAAATGACCAGGTGATAGTTGCCTGTGACCGAGCAACTGTACGCACCAAGAGCAAAAGGGCGATTTCCTCTCTCCGCAGCAATCATTCCAAAGGACACTAAGCTCAATGAGAATCGGATTTTTGCCAACCAATGAAAGGTAAGCAGACCAAGAAGTTTAGTGTGAAGTCCAAACGAACAAAAGAACTTCCGAATGAAATGAGTTGCG